ACACACACACACACACACACACACATATATGACCCTGTTTGGGAGCGATTTTGATAATTAATTTTTTGACTGTTAGGAGAAAAGTGGGGACCATTTGTGAGAAAAGAAGTCAAGCTTTACGGCTGGAATATTGAAATAAGTAAAAAAATCAATTTTTTTGGGGGTGTGAAAAATCACTCCCAAACAACCTCACATATTACTTGATAATATATCAATATAAAATTATTCTATTTTTATTGAATAATTAAATTTAATGGAATAAAGTGTCGTAAAATAAATTTTCAAGTTTTCAAACCAAACGTGTTTTCTAATTCTCTACTTAGAGAAATGGTTTCAAAATGACAAACTAAAATCGTTTTTAGCAATATCTTAAAACATATTTTCAAAATAGAAAATTGAAAATGAACTCAAAATTCAAAAATTGAAAACTCGAATACCAACCGAACGGGCCATATATCCGAAAAGCCATTTATGACAAGTATAAGATTTTGCATATCATGTTTCTTGTATTATTATTTTTTTCCCCGTTATTTTTCTGGCTTTTTAAATAAGGAAAAGATGTGTGCTATAATAACTTGTTCAGCACGAATTGCCATTTATGCAGCAAATTTATAGAAATGGACGACTTTTCAATTGCATACTGTGCATTAGCTATGAAACCGAAATCATCAAATAAAGCGCACGTCTTTCCGTGCATAGAATTACACAAAATTTCGTATTCTGCAACCTGATCACTAAGTAAGAAGGATTCTGCTGAAACCTTGCTGTAATGTTTATTTCATTTTGTATTTAGTCGTTCTTCATCTTAAAGCTGTTTGATGGGTATCAACCTGGTTGGGATGAGCCCTTCGACTCTTCATGAATTGATCGAGGTCTATGAGTCTCGTGTGCGTGTTTGGAAGGAAGGCTGGGTGTATGGTGATGGTAGCTCAAATGGTCTAAACTATTTTTAAGATTTACGATTAGAAAGTAGACTTGTAGAGTTCATAACTGTATATGACACGGTAGGTAATTTTGTGCACTCTACCAAAGAGCATAAGACAGAAAAGATGGCCCCAGGTAACGGTGCCAAGTATAGTTTTATGTTATAGAAAAAGATGACTTCATGTATGCTGTAAACAGAACAAAGGGCATGTATAAATAGTTAAATACACATCAAAATCACCACTGTTACTACTAGTTCATTGTATCTTCAATCCAAACATTTGGAAGAGAAACACAAAACAAGCAGTTATTATCATAAATTTCGTCTCCTTTTCTATATGAAGAAATAAATTAAGCCTGATACATACAGATGACATACAATCAGATGTCAAAAGTTTCCTTTTCAATTCTTTATTCTCTTTGCATCAATCTGTAGTCATCGGCTGACTCATGCAGCACCTGAAACGAGCCTTTCTGACTGTGGTCATGATATTGGTTTCTGCAGCCTCGAGCATTCTGACCACCTCACTGAAGGATGGCCGAACATCGGGATTAGCATCCCAGCAGCGGGTCATGATCTCACTGAGAACAGGCAGGCAGTCATTGGGGATATTTGGACGGACGCCTTTGTTGACGACAGCAAATGCTGCCTGAACAGCAGTCATGTTCTGAAAGGGAAGCATTCCTGTGATGAGCTCTGACAGGACAATCCCAAAGCTATACACATCAACTTTCTGTGTATATGGCCTATGCTGGATCATTTCCCTGTAAATTCAGAATAAAATGCACTCAAGCAGCCATAGTAATAATTGGATACTTTATAAAGAGATTAGGAAAAACTGGAAAGCATTGAAGTGGTGATGACTAATATCAAGTTCCAATCTTTTAATGGGAACATTCAGTTGACTCCCACTGAGCAACCCAAGGAAATTTCTTATAGACTGAGTCTAAGCATCATTGTGAACTCCACTAGTACTGTGTAGATGTAAAAGCAACATCAAAGACTTGTTTCTATTAATCATTCGACACTAGAACATAACCATAGTCAGCAGACAGCAAAGATGTAAAGCCACAACTTATAGCCCCACATTTAACCGTGGAAACATCTTTAGAGTAAAAACCAACAGCATCAACAGTAAAATATCAATATGACAATCATAACGACCGCCGCTGATCCGATGACATCAAGACCTATTTAGAATTACTTGTCCATCCATCACTGTCACACTAATACCTCCACCAATCCACCAAGAACTACATAGATCCAGATTTGACATCTTCAACTTACAAGCATAACAGTCAATTAAGTTCAGCATATTAACATTTAATTGCACCACGAACGCTAGAGGCCTGTGATCACAGATCAGAGATAGTTCTAGCAAAACTTTGGATATGAATAATCATATAACCCCCATAATACCAGACAAGTATCAAGTGGACAAGTCTATACAATAAATACTTATCACTGTACAGTTATTTATCCAGTAGAAAAATAAAAACAGTAAAAGAGATGTCTACTATCCATGCCTGAACAGATGATGCTGTTTTCAAAATAACAAAAAGCATTTAATGCGATGGAATTCATATCAAAAAATGCAAATGAAAGCGAGCCCACAATAAAGTTGAGCTTTATAGTAGTAACATATTTTCTCAAAAAGTTTAAGCATCTAACATTGTCTCTCATGATAAGGTTAATACTTATTATCCCATCTGATGATTACTGTTATAAAGTACATCATTTCACAACATAACAATTACCTAAAGAACAAATTAGTAATTTAGCAAGCATCCTGATCTGGTTTCATTTAATGGACCGTTCATTTTCACATTTTTCTAACAAAGATTCCAATTTGAAACTGACAACAAATTGCAAGGAGAACCATTGACGAAATCATGACAATTTCTCCTGTGACAGGTTTAAGGCCACTTCTTAGTGAAATTGTAAAATTGACTTGGTAACAAACTAGGATTTAATTTGAGACCATCCACTTTATGCAAAAATATCATCATATTAGTAGCAAATGGTCAGCTAGATCCAGTCTAGATAGACTGAATCTATCATGAGGAATTGAATATTGCAATTATCTTGTATTGTCCCACTCCAGGATTTAATTTGAGACCATCCAATTTATAGAAAAATATCATCATATTAGTAGCAAATGGTCAGCTAGATCCAGTCTAGATAGACTGAACCTATCCTGAGGAATTGAATATTGCAATTATCTTGTATTGTCCCACTCCTTGAGGCACATGACAAATTACTACGTCTGGTAGGTTCCATCCAACTAGACTGAGTTCATGAAAAATGGTGCCTAAATTATTTCAGCTTATGTAAAACTAGTCTCCTTCACTTTATCAGTTTACTGCCGACAGTTAAGAGCATACTGCATATGAAGAGTAACAGGATCGTCAGCTATAGACAATATAATCATTGTGCTCATTGTCCAATACATGATGGTTAAACAGAGTTTTGAACATTTTTTCCATCATCACGGTTGATTTTACAACTCTAACGAAATGTTGACGATCACTTGCTTTTTTCTAAAAGTTGGAGACCACCTCGCTACTCAGCAATAGGTTGGTGATCAATGGTGCAATTTTCCCTGCACTATAACATAACTTTTTTTCAAAAAGAATGTACCTTCCTCAATGCTTGGCTGCACAATCATTTCAACTTGTTTAAATTTTTTTCAGCTTTGCTTCCTATCAAACTATTTTAGCCGCTCAAAGAGAATCCTCCACCTCTTGTATCTTTCCACTAAAATGTTGATAAGTAAATACAGTCAAGTTTGTTCTAACATGGCTTGCATAAAGTAATATATTATTTTTGATTATTACATGCAACAAAGGTATAAACTTTAACCATCATAAATCCTATGCTGAGCTGACAAAATCTTTCAATTTGGTTAACTCATATCTACGGATGACTTTTGTTATAGTGAGTTATCAATGGATGGATAGTGATAGCTGAGCTGTCACAGAGTAGGACAATACTTCAATTGACACTGACAATAAGTTTTACATTAAGTCCTTGAGTGATGTTGATTTTTTGATAAGTGATTTTGTGAAGAGTGATTTTTATTTTTATTTTTATTTTTTTTTGAGAAAATATGGTTAAAAAGTATGGAAATGTTATTGGTCCGCTTCAAAATTATTTTATTGCGAGGATGGTTGAAAATTAGTTCGAGGAAATGTGATTTTGAAAAAATAAGTTTCAAACAAGGGCTGAATGTATCCAGTTTTGTGTGGAGACAAACATTTCAGGCAAAAACTTGAAAAAACTAGAAAATTCATCAAACTATGGAATTCCCAGTTATGGTTAAGATATTTCACCTATGTAAATGCAGTTCCTCTGTTTTAATCACACAACCAATTTTGCTCATCTTATTTGGAAGGAAAAACAATCTTGTGAAGTTACTAAAACATACATTTTTCAGGGTTAGTGATTAAAGCTGACAGCCTGAGAGTAGAAGCATGAGGAACAACTGCCATGAAATAGTATGGCATGTAATATAACAAAGGCATACGCCAATTAATCAGCCAAAACTAAAAAAGGAAACACAAATTCCCCCTCCAATAGCCTTTTCCTTTTCTTTGGGGTTTTGATCAAAAGATTATCAGACTTCAAGTCACGGTGAATCAAATTTAAGCCATGCACATATTCCATCCCTCTAGCCACATCCAACGCCTGCTTTACAGCCAATTTCAAAGGCACAGATCGGTTTTGTCTCTTTGTCAAGAACTGACGCACTGAACCCCCCTTTGCATATTCTGTCACAATACACCAGACCATGCGTTTGCGGCACGCACCAATAAAGCGAACGATGTTCGGATGCTTCAACCTTGCCAACATCATAACCTCCTGCTGAAACTGCTGCTCCATCAAGTGTGCTCTCTCTGAATCATTCTCTGGTCTCTCCAGAAGCTTAATCGCTACATCCTCACCATTATAAATACCCTTGTAGAGCTTCCCAAAAGCCCCCTGAGCAAAAGCAGGACCCATGTTAAGCTTCCTCAAGTCAATCGTCCACTCATCATAATTCCCAAGCCCCTCCGTAGGATATTGAGGGTCCATCAAAGCTTGAGCTAGAGCATCATCGCTCTGCCCATGAGAGACTCTCCCACGATTGACACTTGCAGCATCAAAATAGTTTTTAACATGCTTGAGGCCTTGATGGCCCAAGATGCGTGTACGGGAACCATTTGATCCAACACTGCTGTTGTCTGTCGACATGTCCACAGAACCTCCACCATTGCTCATCCGCAAGCTTCCATAACTATCAATTGACATGTTTGACCCCTCATTGAGCTTGTGATAAAAATTTTGAGAGAGATTATAATTGTCAGGGGCATAGTTTAGGTCTATAATCCCGGTAAATTTTGGACCCTCCAACATTTTCCTTTCTAAACAGTTTCACAACTCCTTGAAACTTCTCTTAGATCCTCTGCATGAGGGTTTCCAGGCTCAAAACCTCACTCACAAAAACTCTATAAAAAAAGGAAAAAAACAAAAAGGTAAAATTGCATTCCAAAAAAGTCAAATCAAAACAAAATCATTTAAATGTTCTATTGGACTGTATTTATTCACAATCATAAAAGAAGCCACCCAACTGGAGCTTCAAAACAAATTAAGCATAACATTTAAATTTGATATCATCCGCTAAAGGGATAGGAACCATTCTCAATTTAATAAATTTTCTACGAGTCAATATTTTCCTTTTTTCTTCTTTTTGGGTGTCTATCAATTTTTTCTTCACCATGAATCCATGAAAATATAGGACATTGGTCAAGTAGACATGCAAGCATAAATTGTTAACTGAATGCCAAGTAAGTCAATAGGACCCACTATTCGACCAAATCAACACCTGTTTTGTATTCTTTCCATTTTGCACTACATGGCCATTCTTCTATCTTAGTGATGTTACCTTCCATCCTCCACTGCCATCTATGCTTCCAAGTTCCAAAAAGTCTGTATGTGCTTTATTTTCACACCTAGGTCAACCTCCCTTCCCTTTTAAATCAAATTTCCAAATAATATTAGAGTTTAGCTGGCACTTAAAATACATTGAGCAAACCAACAGATGCTTTTCGTGGATCCAGTTACAGGGGAAGGGGGATTAGGGTTTGTCAAGAAGGGGTTGGATGGAGAAATAAATACAACCGCTTGCCATTGTCCTTTCCACATTCAACTTGTAATAATGCCAAAAATTAATGAAGAGGAATGAAAAACGAAGAGGTAGAGGATATTTTAGACAAAAATAATTGAGTAGATTAAAGAAGAATTTTTCTCATATCACAAAGTGATGGTCTTTTCCCACTTCTCCTCGCATTGTTGAGCAATTTCAGGTAACTCCTCTAAAATTAAGTGTAATAAATGAATTATCCACAAGTCAATCAGAACTTCAAATAAAGTAAAACAATAAAACCCCAATTTTCATTTCACATTTAATTTTCTTATCTCTGCTTGACTATAAATTGCAGCTATCACAAGTCTAATTCAGCTTCGATTTTGACATCCGAAAAGGAAAACTTTGATTCAAAAACTAAATAAATTAAACACTTCGTGACAATCAACAGCACCAAAGAAAGCCGGCTAAGTTTCTTCCAAGTAAAATCATATTAAAAAAATCAGCACCCTTCACATGAACCCCATAATTGGACAAAATTCAGTGCTCCGATGTTAAAATTAAGGGGAAAAAATATGAAAACATACCTCGATCGAAAACGCTTGACGTTGCTATAATTTATGGCCTGAGAAAAACCCAATTTATTTCCACGGCAGCTCAGTGGTTCAAGTTTTCCCCTTATTTCTACACTTCGACTGTACAACACATAAAGATAAAACAACAACCACGACGCCCTAAGAAATAAAGTGCGATATACGTAGAGAGAGAGAGAGAGAGAGCAATGGGAAGTGTATGACTATAGAAAAATGGAGGAGCGCCGGTCTTCGTCTTCTTTTGTTTTTTCTCTCCTTTATTAATTAATAAGAGAAAATTGCAGTACAGTCCCACATATTGTCCTCAGAGAGTAAATTAGCCTTCTAACTTTTCATTTGACTGTCGTACAATCACTTCGCAAATTGAAACATACTGCAATGGTTCTCCCCATCTCCAACCAATAATTCTTCTCAGAAAGGGTCACGGCCTGTTTCCCTAGCAAAACTCCATCTCCATCCCTATCGGAGATTTCAAAAAAGAGACGATGACAGAAAAGACTAGAATAGTACCAAGGAAAATGTCATGTTATCCCTCCCCACTCTACAAATAAGAAATTTCATTCCGAAACAAGACGTTGAATCGTAAGCTGGAATGCAACATTTTGTCATCAGTAGTTCACAAAAATAAACCATCAAAATATTTATTAATATGCCATGCTATCCCAATAAAATGTATATGAAACAAATCTTTCAATTAAATTTATCTAATTTATATGAAATATTTATCAATCTATTTATATGGAAGCTTACCTGAAAATTTAATCATGCAAAAAGAAGGTTTAACTCTTCCATAAGACTTTGGAAAGGCACCAATCCAAGTGGGAAAGCAAATTTTAGATTAAAGGGTTAAATATGTTATAGAGACAATTATACATTTAGAACGGGATGTTAAAATGCGGGATGCGTAGAGCATTTTATCAATCTTAGTTCACAAAAATAAAAGCAGTCAATATATTTATTAATATGTCCAAATTTATTTATCACTCTATTTATAACGGAAGCTTCCTTCAAAAGTTAGGAAAAATAATTTTTTTTTCCTTTTTATTTTATTATTTATACATTTGCAATAGCACGAAAAGAAGGCTCGACTCCTTCATGAGACTTTGGAGAGCACCTGCCCAAATCGAGACAAAAAAATTCTATTCAAAAAGTTGAAAAGGTTGGGTTGTTGAGACAATCGTACAATTAGAATTGCGTGGAAAGATCAGAATTTAATTTGCTTTAATTTAAAAGGCTTAGGGATCCACTTGGAGCTCAGATAATAAACTGGGGACCGAGAATGAATTAAATTCCCTATTTCTACTGGCGAAAGACCTGATGTGTAGTCACTTATACAGACTATTCGTGTATAAGCGTCTGAAGTGGGGCCCAGATACCATACAATGACATACGCCGTCCATTGTAATCAGCGTGACACAACGATGACGACTGAAAGTGGGCCCATAAGAAGTAGGTAGTAAATTCCGACTCAAATTTACGAGGGCTGCTTGATATACAGTAAGCTTCTTCACGCTAGAACACACACATAGGAATGTGGTGGGGTATTTCTTGACAATTTTTTTCTTCACGGTGGCCCATATCGTGCGAGTATTCTGACAATCTTTTGTGAATTTTTGTTCTGTATATATAGATTAATTGCGAATTTATATACTTGTACAGGCGCATTGCTACCAAATTTCACCAAATACTGCTATGACAAATCTACCAAGTGTATTTTTGGCAAAATTTTGATAGAATTTTTATGTACACATAACAACTATGGACAAACTCTCGATGTGCCAATCAATAATCCCCCACCCGTGGGCCTACTTGAAGATAAATTGACATCATTTTTCAATGAAATTGTTTAGAAAGTACAACTGATTGTACTTGATCAATTCTCGTTCTCGACAAATATAGAAAAAAAGGTGCGTTCGGATCTCAATTCATGAATATCTCAAGAATGAAACTGGTTGCATGGTGACAATGACATGGCTATTTTCAGGTGCTAAAATGACTATTAGCTATAAAAAAAAAAAAAAAAAAAAAAAAAAAGTGATTAAATTTAATCATAATATCATATCATGGGACTTACCATTTTTTGTTAATTTTTAATCATATGTTCTCATCAATTTTATCAAAATATATTAAAAAATTTAATTTTTAATGAAATGTAAGCTAACATATCTTAATTTTAAAAAATAATTTTTAAACATAATTAAACACGTATAATTAGTACTATCTACAACGTGTCTAACCAAAATCCGAACCATTTGCTGGATTAATTACATCAATGGTCAATTGGTCATTTAAATTTTGAGCAATTTCATCAACCGTTGAACTTATTTTCTTACACTAGTAGTCGCTCGGACAAAAAATTACTATTAAATCATGCGTGGCATAATATAAGGTTAATAAAATAACATTATTTATTTTGTCGAGTTAATAAAAATCGTTGTTAAATGCCAAAATAGGTTTACTATATGATTTGAACCTAAAAAAATATCAAAACTAAAGTTGCATTATGTCTTTCTCATATGAACGTTTCTAGAAATGAATACCAAGGAAAATTGACATAATGAAATTTTAATAGCTTACACGAGGATAAGCTTACTTATTAAAATTTTTTCTTCAAATAATTTTACGGTTTTTAACAAGCATCGATATTAATCTTATATTAAACACAAATGACATGTTACATCAATTTGTGCCCCCGTTTGATCCTCATTAAATTCAATTACATTACATTACATTTCATTTTTCTCTTTCCTATTTTCAATCACACAATCTTTCATAAAATAATATTACACGTAAATTAAAAATTTTTCCTTCTTTTTCAACCACACATTTTTCTAAAAAATATTATTCCCTCCATTTTTACTTTCAGGTAATGGGGATCAAACGGTGGCTTATCTATTAATGATTTATGCTATCAATCCTCAGCATAAGATAATCATTGGAGCTGGTTAGATCTACACCTAATTATATATTCACAATTTTATTTTGGGGTTTTAAAAATAATAAAAAATAAATAAATCTTATATTGGGGCCAAGTATTTTGCAGTTAAAAACTGTAGAAATGGAATATGCTGGTTCATTATTGAAAAATCCCAATGGGTCACCCAATCATCATTCAATTTGCACCTTCAACATAAATATCTGAATTTCTGCTCTAAAATTTATTTATTTATATTCACCTTTTTGCAAATTAGTAGAGAATTACAGTACACAAAAACTTTTTGTTAAAATGAATGTATACACTCCTACTTCAATTACCAGTAATTGCTTCGCAGATTCGTTCTTGCTTCTAAATCGAAGGAGCAACAGTAATATCTATTACTGTTTTTACAACACCAAGAGAAAGGTCAAGACACTGAATCAAGATTTCATTTCGCACAATTTCAAGATTCAGGCTGTTGAAAAAAATGCTCCTCAGGTAAATTACTCGAAGCTGCACATGCCAATATTCACAAATAATTCTAGTGGCTTTTTTGGCAGCCATTGTTTCAAGATCAAGAACACGTTTGCTTAGCTTAAGAGCATTTTAAGTAATGATTTGTTTCCAAATACGTTTGGATATGTTGTATTAGTGAAAAATTGCTTACTTTTATATATTTATCCCAATTTTAACCAACAAAAAAATTATTTGGTTTACAAGAAACGTTTAAGCTTAGGCAAACATGCTTAATATTGTTGGAATAATAGTAGAAGTAAAAGTAGCAGTTAATCTCGTTTTTGTTGCTTTATTGAAAGTTTGGTTTGAGATTGTCTTGGAAATATTCTATGTAAAAGAAGAATTTATTCGTGATTTATTCCTTTTGGATCATCGAGCCATTAATGCTATGCAGAAAAAACAACTTATTTGTCCGCATATCTTGTTAAGGTAAATAACTGTGAAGAATTAGTAGTGATCTACCAAAATTATTTTTCATCCTCCCAATATAATAGCTCAATTGATTCTTTAGAAGGTCCTATACATGTCATTGCACTTCCCAAGTAGTTGAACTGGCAAGAATAGAAGAGACGATTCCTTATACACTATGCTGGTTTAATATCAAATTTTGATTTTGAAAATTTGGAGCTACTTACAAATAGCAGGAAGGTGGAACAATGACAAAAAATTCGATAACTAGGAATAAAAGGGTATGACTATGTTTTAGCAAGTCACACACTCATATAGTTTTAAAATGAGATGCCTTTTCTTTTATCAAATTCTTCAATGAAAGATTCAAAGTGGTTGACATTATAATGTTTGAAATATAAGTTATTTATAGAAAGTGAAAAGAAATCTGGTGTCTATCTTACCATTTTGTGTCTATCTTACCATTTTGTTTAATTCTTATTTTAACATTAATTCTGCATTTGTGTTTTAATTATTATTCTAATTTTCTAATTTTAAGTCTGACAGTTGGATGTTGAGAAGTTAGAAGGTTCAACAACTAAGTCCGGATTTAATAGTTTTAGTTGGCCTTCTCCCGAAGATGAAATTCCATTCTGGAAGAGAGAATTTCCATCATGGGATATCAACTTGGATGGTCCTGTTGACATCAAGAAGGATTCTGATCTTATACACATTGTTCACGTGACAGCTGAAATGGCACCCATAGCAAAGGTTGGAGGTCTTGGTGACGTAGTGACTGGACTTGCCCGTGCATGTTTGTCACGTGGCCATAAAGTGAATGTTTTTTTACCCTTCTACGAGTGTATCAACAAGCAGCAGATCAAAAACTTGGAATTGGTGAATACATATGACTCCTATTATGACGGGAGTTGGGTCTCTACTAATGCATATCAGGGAGTAGTTTCTGGCATCCCTGTGATATTTGTCGAACCATCGAACCACTTCTTTAAGGGACAATGTGTCTATGGAGGTTCATACAATGAACTGGAAGCATATCTATTCTTTAGCCGTGCTTGCCTTGAATGGATGCAGGTTTGTCCTGATAAATCAATTTTTTTTTAAGAGTTGAAACCACGACAAGCCACTTATTTTTTATTAAAAATCAGCCAGACTTTCTCTGACCTGAGTAGAATTTCTTGCATATATCTAGTCAGGCATGCTCGTGTGTGTCCAGAAGAATGCAAAGGAGGTAAAACACTACTTGGTCAAAAGATGCTGAATAATTGGTCCAAACACTTTAAAACGTCAATAAAAGATTTTTGAATAAATGTTTTACTAACAAACATTTGTCGTGTGCCATAGCTGTTGCAATCCGACTATTTACCTTAGTTAAGATATGTTCTTTTGGGTTCATAGTTCTATGTTTTTTCTGTTATTTTCTAATTAAAATTTTAATTTCAATTAACATTGCCAAAACTCGTGAAAGAATTTGATCTTACTGCAGGTCACAGGAACCCAGCCTGATATCATTCATGTCCACGAATGGCAGACTGGTGCTTTGCCTCTGCTTTACTGGGATATGTACCATCATCTCTCGCTCAGGGTAAAATATATTGCACTTTGGATTTTTGAAAAAAGATTGCAATAGTTGGTACAGTATATTGATTGAATTATGATGCTGAAATATTAAATTTTAGATACCAAAAATAGCGTTGACTATTCACAATATGGAGCATTACGGAGAGTGCAGGTACACTATAACTTATCACATTTTCTTGGAAGTACATTGATGATGTATTTACTGTATTTGATTTGCACTATTCTCTTGCATGTCCAAGTAGTTTTTTTTTCTTTGATTAACTCTTCTACTGATGCAGTCTGTATGTACCTTCACAAATTCTAAGATTTGTTGGTTGCAATCCAGATATGAGATATAAAAATTCTTGGAACCTGATAATACTGAAGGCATTTATGCCTGGTGACTCTCTTCGACATGCTTTCAGAATTATTGACTTGTACAAATAGCATACTATGGTATTGGATTTCTTGGTTATGTCCTCACTCCCTCTCTTGAGTGGGTGGTATCTCTTTTGATTACTGCTTGACTGTGGACCTTTTTTGGTTTCTGTTTAAAAAAAAAGGAAAAATGGTTTTTTGGTTTTTGTGAGCAGTGAACAACTTTGAGTTCTATTGACTTGCTGGTGCAACTAATCACTTTAGAATTGAAATAAAACTACTTATCGATTGGTTCTTTTGATACTGTCAAAAATATGACGTCGAAGTTTGTATAAACCTGTTTATGGTCCTGTCTCTTTGTCAGCAAAGAGCAGCTCAGCAAATGTGGCCTTGATGGATCTATATATGCAACTGAAGAGAAGGTGGTATTTTTATATCTTTTTTTATCATAAACACACAACACATAAGAGTTTCATGTCTTGTTTATTCATTATTTCCATAACATTCTAGCCACTTAACTCTCATGTACTTGTTTGTAATTCATAAAAGCAAAAAGAGAGAGAAATTCGTCAACATTAGTTTTTAAGGGAAAATATTTAATTGCTAGCTACCTATGGTTTCTGACAAAAAATAGGTATCAACAACTTCTGGACGGGATATTTTAATAAGATAAAGGATGTTACCATTTCTTGTTTCAAATGTTGTAGGCTGTGGATGATCGAACTATTGGCCATAATCCTGAGCGGATAAGCTTATTGAAAGGAGGCATAGTCTATAGCAATGCAGTAGTGTAAGTTTTGATACATTTATGCATGCTTTCTTAACTTCTTCACTTAAATTTTCACATAACTATAAATTATGGGAGAATACAAGTTAGTAACTTAGTATTTAAACCTGTTTGGGTTCTCGGAATTGAATATTGTCGGATGACTGGCCCTTGGATAGTATGTATTTCTATAGGTAAGGGAGGCATTTTTTTAAATCTCCTTTCCTCGTATTTGGCAAAAAATATGTCACTCTGAACATCATACTTAAGAGAAATTAGTCCATTCAAGTATGTTTTAATTGTGTATTCTCTATGTTTTACGTGCAGAAGAGAATACTCGATGGGTAATCCTTTTATGGTTTCTTTGTTTTTTCTATCAATTTCCAGTACAGTCTCTCCTACTTACCTCAAGGAAACACTTTGCTCGGGATGGCTTGCAGGCACATTGATAAGACACCGTGAGAAGTAAGAACCTCTGATTCTTGCAGTTTGAAGTCAGTTACTCTTTATTCTTAATGGAGTTCACATTCTTGAATTCCTAATACTTGGTGATTTTGTGTATCTGACCCAAATTCATCGAGAATAAGGTTTATTTTGTGAAATGTGTTTTAAGCACTCATTTTATTAGTGAATTTCAATCATGGATGTTGAACCTTTCTAAGCAAAATCTCCATGCATCTTTTTCAAGATGCTAGCAATTCTGTGTATCTTATTGAGGGCACCTTTTGTTCTTTACCTAGTTTTTGTACTTTTGGCATCTTTGATGTCCTTGATGAAGTATGCATGTTACCCGGATAGAAGCCATGCTTTCACAGAAGTTTAGTTCAGCATCTACCTTGCTTTTGCTGTTTAAATTACATTGTAGATTATAAAAGAAACCTCCAAATTTTCTCACCGAGGGTAAAAACTTTCATAGGTACCGTGGTATTTTGAATGGGATAGATACTGGAATGTGGAACCCTGCAACCGACATTTTCTTGCCTGCTAAGTTTGATGGTAATGATCCCTGCATTCATGAAGATTTTTTTGAAATCATAATCTGTTTCGTGTTTAATTCTTGTTCTATATACTGTGGGCAAAAGAAGGTGAGAAGAGGTAGTATTGTGTTATTTTTTGATAAATGAAGTTCCGCTCATGTATTAATCAGTATGTTTTAAAATAGTATCTACTACAACAAAATAAGCCTGTTTCCAATAATTTTGGTTTTGGCTACATAAATCCTTTTCCTTTTTTGCTACTCCATTTGCTCCACCATTATATCTACTGAAAAATCTAGTGCAATCAAATCATTTGCAACTCTATCATGCCATGAAAGCTTTGTTCTACATCTCCTTTAACTAATTTGTTTAATGGGATTGCATAATTATTGTCAATGGGAGCTTCTTTAGGTCTACACAAGGCGCACTCTGACCACACAAGTCGTTTTTCCCCTTTTTTATCGTTACAAAGTATAAAGATTATTGCCACGAGATGTGACAAATGTTCATTTTGGTATCTATGTGGTACCTAGATTTACACGGATGCGTGTCGGATATGCTGACATGCGATTTTTGAAAAAAGTATTGACACTATACGTTGATTAAATTTTTTTAAAATTCTTCATTTATGCGGTATAAATTTAGTTTTATACTTGTTATTAAATTTCTGTGTTGAAATTTTTCAAATATGAGTATTTATTTGTTATTTACTTATAACTTTGAATTAAAAATATATACTATTTTTAATAAAAAAGAAAAATGTTTATAATAGAGTGTCTGAAAAGTGTCAGTATTGAAACGTGTAGTATCGACACGTATCAGACACAGATATGTTATTCTAGTTAAAGTGTCTGTGCTATAGAAATGACTACATATAAATCACAAGCAAGTTTTTGTATCATGCATAAGCATGACCCTACCTTTTTGCGAAGTAGTTGGCATGCCCGTTGGAAAAGAAATTTAAAATGCGAAAAACTTCACAATTGTCAATCTACTTGTTTGATAACATTAAGCCACCTTTTTCTTGGCCTTGTGACTTGCAACCTGTGAACAGTTACTTCCAATCTTAATATAGTTGTCTGCCAGTTAGGTTATATCTCAAAAAAAGTTAACGAGATCTCTTTCTTTACCTTTCTTCGTTTTCATATAATTATTTATAATTTGGCAGCTCTTAATATTGAAGAAAAGAAGACATGTAAGCACTTTGTTCAACGAGGACTTGGTCTGGCTTCAGGAGGACATCAGATGGGTAGTCATGCACCCGATAAAGTGCCTCTGGTGGTATGCATTACTCGATTAGTTCCTCAGAAAGGTCTTCATTTGATAACTCATGCGATTAAGTATGTTAAAGAAATTGTAAGTTCTCTTCCCGTCTCTCGTCACCCTCCACGATCCACATACATCCACTTGCATGAATTCAGTTTTTTCGTTTCTAATATGTTCCTCCAAGCTTATTATATATGGAATCAGTGGCTATACTTGCTATGTATTGCAGCAAATATATAGTTTCTTCGAGGAAAGGCATTTTCTTATGTCTCATCTACTGTTGAAAGCTTAGACCCAATGATATTTTATTGTCACCGAGCGAGAAAGACTACATAATTAGTGCATACTAACAACATAAATTCAATACAACTAGCAGAGGGTTTCCAGTCCATGATATGGAACATTACTTGATGACTTCTAATATTGGACGGTGAACGAGATCTGAAGCAAAAGAAAATAGGGGGAAATAGTAAAGTTTTCAATTGTTAAACAATTGAAAGTGTGTGAAAATTATGATAGAGATAACGCTTGCACTAATAGCTTCTCCTCTGGATTGTTAAAACATTGTATGAGAGGATGTGATGAAGAATATTAAGGAGTTCTTTCAAAATACGTAATCGATGAAGTCACAAATTCTACTTTCACACGTCTTAATCAGAAAAAAAAAATTAAATAAATAAATAATATTAAATTCTAGAAAGCTTAATGATTTTGCTCGTGTCAGTTTGGTGTCGAGTTCGTACAAAGCTGAGAGATGTCTTGGAACATACCGGGACAAATCTAGATGTAGCACCACTTGCCGACAAATTGGCAGATGAGTACATGAAAATGAAGTGGAGGGTTAGTGTTTAAAGATTGATTTTTTAAAGGTTGAAGATTATGTTAATTTCAAGGTATAACACATATCGGGAGGGGCATATAGTAGCAGAATCATTAGCAGCATATGCAGCGACCAGCCAATCTGATTCATGGTGGCATACAACACCACGGTTCTTTTCAAGTTTGGTTTCAAGTGATATGTTTGGTGGTTGTACTTTTCGCATTTCTTAGCTTGTAGTGTCCATTGGATTGTAAATGATTGGATTGATTGTTTTCTTTTTAAAGGGTTTGCTGGTTGGAAGGCTTAATGGTGGGTGCAACTAGTTCGAATGTACCAAAAAGCTCTCCAACCAGTTGCCCGAGTTCATAAGAATAGATCATGTTAATGGGCTTTCTGCACAGGGGATTGGTCTTTAAATGAAGACTTGTTTAGGAGGTTGTATGGGTGAAAAAAAATCTTTCTTGAGGTAGGAAGATTAACCCTTATCCAGCTGCTACTATTCAGCATTCCTATATATTATTTGATATTTCTCAGAAAGTCTCATAAGGTAATGGACTAATAGACCACATTAGAAAAATTAATGAGACTTTCCGTGGGATAACAATATGAATGGGACCTGGTTAGTAGAAGTGAAAGAAGAGGTGACTGGCAGTAGGTAACCTTAAAATGAGAAGATTATGCGTTTTCATTAAAGTGGCTGGGAGATTTTCTTAGAACAATATTCTTGGTGGGGAAGGATGTGAGGAATAAATATAGTCCAGACCGAATCGGCAGAATTACAAAAGAAATGTGAGGGGCCAGTTAGAAATCCTTGGATATTTGTATCTCAGGGATGTTCATCTTTATACGGTCACAAAATGGGATGTTGATATGGGGAATAAAATCAGTTTCCAGGTAGATTTTTGGAAATGTAATTGGTTTCTTTCTTCACTTTCTCTATATTGTATAGTCATCGCTGTGAAAGTTTCCTTAATTCTGCCAGTCTGCTTTGGCAAATGGAAACTTGAGTTGGAACTTTCAATTTCTTAGAAACATACTTGAAGTAGAAATTTCAACATTATCTTTAGATATTCTTGATTTTCCCCTTGATTCTTTGTCATTCTGATAAAAGACAGTGGACACTGGACTCCCAAGGCATATTTTCTTGTAAGTCATACTTCCAAGTTTTAGTTGATTGAAAACTGTGTAGCCTGATTGATAGACTTGATTTTCATAAGATCAATACTTGTGATTTTAGTCCAATGAGATGTCCAAATCTTTTTTTTTCTTATTCATAGCGCATAATGTGCCCATAAGTGTTCGAAATGTATTGATCATCTGTTTTTGCATTGTCAAGTTGCAAGGATAGCAGCAGATTATTCACTTTCCAGGAAAGCAAAGTGTTGAAATGTAGAAAGCAACAGTATCAGCTATCTTTTGGTGAAGTGGAATGAAAGAAGTTGCAAAACTATTGAAGGAAAAGAGCAAGTTATTATTAAGTTTTAGGAAGCAGAAAAATACCTAGTTTCATTAGGGGGATCTACATAAGGATTTAAGGGCGTTTTCCGTTTCTCTAATTGTTTTCAATTGAAAGAAGTATTTTCTCTCTTGAATTTGACGATATCTTTCCTTTATACAATCTTGTCGATTAGAAGACTTTCTATGTTACTCTTTTGATTAAGTGCTGGAAACACTTTCCTGGAGTAGGGTCTGTCAACTGCTTCTGCTTGCAGTAAAAAAGCTTGGCTTCTCACCTTGCAATGAAATACATGTCATTAGATGTGTGCTTTGTGTAATTTTTTCTTTACTAGACTACCATCCCTGGTTTCCAAAAATGAGAAAGAACAAAAAAATAAAAAGCTTGATGTAGGAATCCAAAAAGAAACAATTCAGTTAATCAATGAAAGAAAGAAAAAGATTAACAGGGATAATTTGGCTGGTTGCACTATTCTTCAGAAGGAACACAGTTGAGTCCTCTAGTTGATAGCATTATGTAATGTGGATGGCTATCACCGAGCATTTGAGCTTTGGGATACTGAGGTTCTTAATGGAACCTAGAGATCTCTGGTATCGAAAACCAATAATTGTTAGAGATCTCTAGTATGGAAAACCTATAATTGTTCTTGTATGTACATTTGAGCTTGTTAGAATAAGTATACGGGGGGCATAGAAAAGATCTTGTTATACGGGTGTAACCATGTTAATGTGGGTAATGTGTCCAGCTGCTCTTTTTGATGTCATTATTGTATTACTTTGTTGATATTCACTTATAAAGATCTTGTCTGAGTTTAGCTTGAAAATTCCAATATCTATCTTTGGGGTTGTTGCAGAGCGGACAAATGGTTGTGCTAGGAAGAGCCTCGGATAGTCGGGTGGAAAGAGAATTCAAAGATCTTGCAGATCTGGTAATACATTTCTTTACTACATATGGCAGTTGATAAATTCTTGTTATGAAGCAATTAGATAAATTTGGTGCTAAATATTCTACAGTAATGTTTTGGAAATAAAATGTGACACAATAAGGTTTTCTCCAGTAATAATATTCAACAGTTGCTTCTTTTGGTTTTGGATACTTTGGTGAAGACAAAATGAGAAAGAGAGAGTTCTGCCCCGACTGCAGAATTATGATAAGACGTGCAATGATTTATGTAGAAAAGGTCCGAGTATGGAAAGGAGACAAGCTATATTAATTATAGTCAATTAGTGATTATAATCTTGTAGTTTTTGGTAGAATAGTTTTATTCCTATTTTAGTAGATTAGTTTCCTTTTCTTATTTCTCATCCTATGTATATACTGTAATCAATATTTTTCATATATTGAAGAATAAGAATTTTCTCTCAATCTCGTTTTCTTCATGGTATCAGAGCCAAGGGCTCTCATCTAGAAAACTATGGCGGAATTCCCTGCCGACGGTTCTGCGTCTACAATGTCTGGCGCAAAAACAGAGGGTAATTCCTCAATTGGTCAGAATGCATTCGTTGAAAAATTAAACGGGAAAAACTACCGTGAATGGACCCAGTCGATTAAACTGGTGATTAATGGAAAAGGAAAGTTGGGCTACCTTACCGACCCGACACAGCCCTGCAGCAACGATGGCACTCTGAAAACTCCATGGTAATTGCCTGGCTAGTGAACTCGATGAAGCCCTCTATAGGGAAAACCTATCTGTTTCTTCCTACAGCGAAGGATGTATGGGATGCTGTAAAACACACCTATTCAGACACCGGAAATGCTTCACAAATCTTTGAATTGAAAACCTGCTTGTGGCAGACCAAACAAGGGACAAGAGATGTCACAGAATATTTCATGGAAATGACATCTCTTTGGCAAGACCTCGACCTCTGCAGTGAAGAAGAATGGAAGTGTCCCGACATCACCTTGTACAAGAAGAAGCAAGAAAACGAAAGGGTCTATGAATTTCTTGCCGGCCTGAATCGCGAACTCGACGAAGTTTGAGGCCAAATTTTGGGGCGCTGCCCACTACCTTCCACTCGAGAGGTTTTTGCAGAAGTGCGTCGCGAAGAGGCTCGCCGACAGGTGATGATGAGAGAGGTTTCTAGAGAAGCTTCAGCCCTAGCTGGAAGGAGAAATGGACCTCCAAAAATTACATCTTCTGGCCAGGAAACTATAAACATAACAGGCCAAGATTTGGGCCAGAACTTGAACATATTAATGGGCCTTTTAATGGCAGTGATGGTTTGGGTTTTTCAAAAGGAATTATAAATGGGTTAACCCAAAAACAACGGGGCCGTCCTTGGTGTGAGCACTGTCGTAAGCCGGGTCATAAAATAGATACATGCTGGGAAATTAATGGGAAGCCAAATGACTGGAGACCTAAGCTAAACTTGAGGAGCCGGGGATATCAGGTTGAAACGAAAAACAATTCAACTGCAAGCAATACATTTAATTCCGAGCAATTGGAACAACTCTATCAACGATTTACGAGCTTTCAAACCTCCGGTCAGTCTTCTCCTAAAGGCCCCTCTAGCTCACTAGCCCACAAAGGTATCTTTCCTAGAGCCTTAAATACTTCAAAATATAAAAATGTTTGGATTATTGACTCCGGAGCATCCGATCATATGACGGATTCGTATCATCTATTCAATTCATACTCAACTTGTCCTGGCAACATTCGAGTTAAAATTGCAGATGACTCACTCTCCTCTGTTGCAGGAAAAGGGAGTATTCGAATATCTGAGTCCTTAACATTGGATTTTGTTCTCCATGTTCCAAATTTGTCTTGTAACTTATTATATGTTAGTCAAGTAACAAAAAATTCCAACTGCTCTGCTAATTTCTTTCCATCTTATTGTGTCTTTCAAGACCTTTCATTGGGGAAGACGATTGGCAGTGCTAAATAATGCGAAGGATTATATTACTTCGAGGAAGCCGATGTGAGTTCACTAGGTCAACTTTCACAATGTAATTCTACATCTACCTTTAGAGATAGTGAAATCTTGTTCTGGCACAATAGAATAGATCATCCTAGCTTATAATATTTAAAACATGTTTGTCCTTCAATTTTCACGAATAAAACACCTATTGAGTTTCAATGTGAAAATTGTGAGTTTGCAAAACATCAGTGAACATCTTTTCCAAAATCAATGTACAAACCATCCAAACCATTTGCTATGCTTCACAGTGATCTATGGGGACCTTTCCACACCCCTAACCGTACCCAAACAAAGTGGTTTGTCACATTTATCGACGATCACACTCAAGTATGTTAGGTTTATCTACTGAAAGAAAGAATTGATGTTCCATCAGTATTTATGAACTTTCATTCCATGATCCTGACACAGTTTCAAACACAGCTTCAAATTCTTTGCACTGACAACGGCACAGAAGATTTCAACGCTACTTTGCAAGACTATTTAAAAAAATATGGAATAGTCCACCAAAGTTCATGTGTCCATACCCCACAACAAAATGGGGGTTGCTGAACGAAAAAACAGGCACATACTAGAAGTAGCTCGTGCCTTAATGTTTACAATGAATATGCCAAAAACATTCTGGGGAGATGCAATTCTAACTTCTACTTATCTAATAAATCGAATGCCCAGTCGGATCCTCTCTTTCAACTCACCTTTAAAAAAACTCCAAAAATGCTTCCCAACATCTTATCTTAATCCAAACCTACCCTTAAAAGTGTTTGGCAGTACTACATTTGTACACATTCAGTCCCAACACCGAAATAAACTTGAACCACGTGCCATTAAATGCGTGTTTATTGGGTGCTCTCCCACTCAAAAAGGTTATAAATGTTATGAATCTTTGGGGAAACGGGTTCTCGTGAGTCTCGATGTCACTTTTTTTGAAACCACACCTTATTTCTTGAAGCCTTCTCTTCAGGGGGAAAACTTGAACTTAGATCGACTCTCCAATCATGAATTCTTGGACTTTGATCTCTCCCCATCTGACCTCACATATACTAATCCTCCTAGTGTGCCATATACAGAAGAAAACTTGAATTCAGGGGGAGATGGAGAAAAGCAAAGTGACAAGGAGATACTAGTTTAATCACGAAGGCCTAAATCAAGTGTAATGAAACCCTCGCAACTGAAGCACCAAGAAAGTCGGAACCGGTGATGGGAACTGACAAAGATCCTTTCAACAATCCAAGTGATGATCTACCTATTGCTCTCAGAAAACCAACCAGATCATGTACTTTACATCCTATTTCAAAATTTATGTCTTATAGTGCTCTATCTACAAAATTTTGTGCCTTTACGACTAATCTTGACAAAACAGAAATTCCAAGAAACATTCAGGAAGCCCTGGAGTCACCCAAATGGAGAGAGGCAGTAATGGAGGAAATAAAAGCTTTAAAGAAAAAAGGAACGTGGAAAGTGGTAAACCTGCCAAAAGGCAAGAAGCCTGTCGGCTGCAAATGGGTTTTCACTATGAAGTACAAAGCAGACAAGACAATAGAACGTTACAAAGCTCGTTTAGTTGCCAAAGGGTATACTCAAACCTATGGCATTAACTACACAGAAACATTTGCGCCAGTGGCAAAATTAAATACAACCCGAGTTCTCCTGTCGTTAGCAGTGAATTTAGACTGACCACTTCAACAGTTGGACATCAAGAATGCGTTTCTCAATGGGGAACTAGAAGAAGAAGTTTTCATGACAATACCATCAGGTTTCAACAGGTTAAATGAGGAAAATCAAGTGTGTAAACTCAAGAAGTCCTTATATGGACTAAAACAGTCACCTAAAGCGTGGTTTGATAGATTTGCAAAGGTACTGAAAACTCAAGGATATCAGCAAGGACAGTCGGATCACACCATTTTTTACCATCAATCAGGAAATGGAGCAAAGACTATCCTAATTGTTTATGTGGATGATATCATTCTGACAGGAGACAACATAGCTGAAATAGAAAGATTAAAGAAGTGCCTAGCAACTGAATTTGAGGTAAAAGACATCGGGCAAATGCGATATTTCCTAGAAATGGAAATTGCAAGATCAAGAAAAGTTAGTGTTTCCCAACGAAAATATATTCTTGATCTGCAAACCGAAACCGATATGGTAGGATGCAAATCAAGTGATACACCTATTGAGGCAGGAAAAGTGAAAAAGGGCACTGGAAAACCCGTGGAAACAGACAGGTATCAAAGATTAGTCGGTAAATTGATCACCTCTCACACACTAGACCTGACATTGCTTTAGCCGTCAGCATGGTCAGTCAGCATATGCACTCTCCTAAAGAGGTTCACCTGGAAGCAGTATATAAAATTCTCAGATATCTAAAAGGAACTTCTGGAAAAGGTCTGTTCTTTGGAAAACATCAAAAGAAAGGAATAGAAATATTCACAGATGCAGATTGGGCTAGATCCATAGAAGACAGAAAATCAACTACTGGCTACTGCACATTTGTGAGGGGAAATATGACAACTTGAAGAAGTAAGAAACAAAATGTGGTAGCAAGAAGTAGTGCTGAAACTGAATTTAGAGCCGTTGCACAAGGAATATGTGAAGGACTTTGGATAAAGAAACTCTTGGAGGAACTAAAAGTCGGAGTAGAGTTTCCAATCAAACTCTATTGTGAGAATAAAGTAGCTATTAACATCTCTTTCAATCCAGTACAACACGATAGAACAAAACATGTGGAAGTGGACAAACATTTTATCTAAGAAAAGGTGGACGATGAGATCATTTGTATGACATACATTCCTACAAAAGAACAAACTGCATATTTATTTACAAAAGGGTTACCCAGACCAACATTTGACGACCTTATTAGCAAGTTGAACATGATCAACATCTATAGTTCAATTTGAGGGGGAGTGTAAAAAAGGTCCGAGTATGGAAAGGAGACAAGATATATTAATTATAGTCAATTAGTGATTATAATCTTGTAGTTTTTGGTAGAATAGTTTTATTCCAATTTTAGTAGATTAGTTTCCTTTTCTTATTTCTCATCCTATGTATATATAGTGACTGTAATCATATTTTTGATATATTGAAGAATAAGAATTTTCTCTCAATCTCGTTTTCTTCAATTTAATTATAGGGTGCCTAGATTGAGGGTGCACAATAACTCATGCTGGCGGAAGTGCTCCACTAGTGCAAACAATGAAATTGACAATCAAACACTCATTGATTCTAACGAATACTGAGAACATAAGGTTCAAATCCTCATTGATTCGAGCGAATAAAGAATAACTGAGAGAAATTGAGAGAAATCTGAAAGGGGTATTTAATAACAACCAAAAACAAATGAAACTCTAGATGTTGTTTTAAAGAAAATAAGAAAACCCCAGAGGAAATTAGTAAGAAATTGCAAGTAATGCCCTTAACTATCATGAAATTACAAAGACGCCTATGTTAAAAAAGAAAAAGAAAAACAGCAATAGTAAAAAAGTTCATCTGCCTATAGCATCGAACACCCCTTCACGTGCTTCCTGTTTATCAAACACTGGTGTATTAAATAAGTCCATCTTCACCAACATGTGCTAGAGAAGATTTGTCATGAACAATAAGGAAAAGAAAGGAAACTACAATGAAAGAATAGATTACACTGATGGTCAAGTAATTTAGATATCATATGGATGGAAGCCATAGCAATTTGGTTTTGCTGTTAGCTAATATATTCTCAAATGGAAAGGAAGAAATTAAAGTAAGGATAGACAATGGGTTTGCTTGGTGCTGGAATAATAAATATACTTTTCCATATTTTGCCATTCAGCTTACCATATTGGTATTAACTTTTGATTATGTTTTACAACAGTGAATCTCAACTTTTGAATTGTTCATTGCCATTCTGAATGATATCAAGTAAACCATCACTAAATAGATGGAAACGAAACAATCCCTGATACTTTCTTAGATCAATCAACTCATATGATAATATGACTTGAAGTATATTAAATCATGATTCAAAGGTCGCAACAGTTTATATGCACTCTTGGAGGAAATAAGCTGTATAACTTTTTTTGCATCTTCTTTTCAAAATTGTACAATCAACATATCAAGCTGACAAAAAACTTAAATTGAACTTTTATGTAGCATAATAATGGTTCCAGCATCCGGATCCTTCTGACGTATAGGTAGGTTTCCTTCATACCCCAACTTATTCAGGTATCTTTATCTTCTCAGAATCTTGCCAACGTCTTTCATTTGCGCTTGAATGCTTAACTAATTTCGTCTCATGTTTTACTTGATTAACATGTTTATCGCAACACATCATTCTCGAAACCATCTTTACTATCTAAACGATACCTACTGCTACTTAAATATCTATTGCATTGTGCAGCGAGGAATTGTCCCACATGCTTTATGCTGCTGCAGACATGGTGTTGGTTCCATCAATATATGAGCCATGCGGACTTGCTCAGCTGATTGGAATGCGTTATGGAGCAGTATGCACATGTTCTTCAGCAAAGCTATCCCTTAGTTAATATGAGGCATAAAATTATTTAATTCACACAAGTTAGGCAATCGAATGAAATGCTGGATGACTGTGGGTAGTTAAACTTGTATTCTAGTATATATGTTGTTTAGAATTGCTTGATCTCATGTCATATATGATTTTGACATTTGCTGTTGAGGAATTTCTTGTCTTCTACATATTCATTTTACAGTAGATAGACAGTTCCAGAAGCAAAACTTCATACAAGTTATTTATGACAGGTTCCTGTAGTTAGAAAGACGGGTGGTCTTGCGGACACTGTCTTTGACATGGATGATCAGTCACAACCTGAGATGGCAAATGGGTATTAACTCTGCATTCCATATTCGCCTATTTAGAACTAACAATTTTTAGGTTCTTCAAGAGCTTCTTGGCATTTTCTTAATTGAGTCAGACAAGGTCGATTCTGCTCTAGTCAGTTCTTGTGGATGGTGTATCTTTGTTGATTTTGATATTTTCAAGATCTGTGAAAGACGTTTAGCTTTCTTTTTGGAGGATTGAATAATATGTTGACCTTTTACTGCCATGCATTTGATCAAGAGAACTCTTGAAAATGTTAATGCCTTGAATTCACTACCCTCATGATATTGTTTTACAAGTTATTCACATATCTAGAACGAAACTAAAGTACATGTTCTTTGGGTTTCGTTTCGTTTTGCTTGCAGATTTGTTTTTGAAGGAATAGACGAAGCATCTCTAAACTGGGCCCTAGACCGTGCCTTTCGTTACTATTGTGGAAGTAAGTTCTGCATAATATTGAAGGAATGCTCAGACAAACTGTTTTCCCTCGATCTTTTTCTTGTTTTCATGTCCAATTTCTGTCTTGGTCGCTCAAAATATTTTGTGTGATAAATTGCTTTATAACTCTTTAACATAGCCTTCTTGTGCTTCAAAAACCTAGACTAACAGCATATAATTCTCACACACTGAACAGTGTTTTTCATCGACCTAGTTCTCCAACTAATTATTTATAGTACTTTAATGCCACAATGTTCAACCCATGGGCGTATTTGAATCGAGGGAACGTGTCAAAGTTTTTGAGTTCAAGTAACCCAAAATATCCGCATGAAATCAAATACGGCATGTGTCGTACTTATTTCTTATTTTTGTTATAGTTTTCAAATAATCTAACCAACCACAGAGTCACATTATTATGCATGCTTAATTTTTTGGGCTCCTGCAAATAAAATATTTACTTTGTGAGATGTAGTGAACACCTCATTGGAGATCTCATGTCGTAGACTTTGACACCACCAAATGAATGACAAAACATGGGAATGCCTCATGGGAGATTTTCATTCTTAATCAAATTTTTTTATTGTGGTTTTGATGCAGAACCTAATGAATGGAGTGCCATTGTACAAAAGGTCATGCACATCGATAGTAGCTGGAATAATACAGCAGGGAAGTACATTGATCTCTACAACTCTATAAGAGTAAGAGAGTGAACTTCAGATCTAGCATTATTAAGTCCATTTCCCAGGTGAACGTGTTGCTACTGTGGAAACTGTGTATTCAAATCTGAAAATTAAACTACAGAAGGGTGTTGGGGTGGGTGGGGATAGGGGTATGATTGAGCTTGGGTAAAAGGGTAAACCAAGAGCTTGTATAAGCACTATCATGTGCATAGTTTGTTCTTTGCAAGGCGCTGCAGTAGTTGATACCAGGTGCCTAAGAACATCAGATTTTTAAAATTATCGTACGTCTGTTTATCTAAATTGGATACACAACGGAAACATTCAGGCAGAAGGCAAATTTTCTATTCGATGAGCAAGTTTTCGAAAGCTGGTCTATTCGTAGTCTGTTTTATGCATCTTCAACATGTGTGAAACATTTCAAATGTTATGTTGGGTATGTGAGCATCTAAGGATTCTTTTGAAGTCTGATTTCAGGTTTAACAAGGTGAAAAATATTTTACAAAAGCTTCAAGGGAACCAGTGTACATGTTTGGCTAAGCTTAAATAAAAATAAGTAGAGCTCCTAAAAAGGAGTAAAGTTGCTGGACTTTAAAAGGACATCATCTTTCAATCTTCTAAAAGGTTACCTTAATCATGTTGAGATATTTTAGTTGGAGAATAAAGTTTACAAGTAATTCTACTTAATTTCAACTAAAAAAGTCATCTATTAAATTTTACTTAATAAGTAAACTTTTGCCATTTGAACAGACATCTTTCCAATCTCGTGCTGCCTCTATTGAAGTCCTCTTCTGCCTTTGTACGAGCAAATGATCATACTTGGTGTGTACTTCTAAAATTAAGAGCATGGTGAAGATGTAAGAATATTCGACTGTTACAAGAATTGTCGCTGATACATTAAGAAAAATTACACCAAATGAATCGGGTTAGTTAAAAGCCAAACAAATTTTCCAAGTGACAGAAAATAAAAGCACGCTACAAAACATACTTTCGCTTCAAGGACTAGCAAGAAAATCACCAAAAACAAGTACAAATCTGTAAAGATCACAATAATGAGCGACCTGTGGAAGCAATAACTGGTTTATATTTGTTTGTTTGATGGCGAGTTATAATCTAAACACATGCATGTAGTCAAAACTCTTCGTCTACTAGCTACAAGGGCAGGGCACGGTGGCGTGGGGTGGAGTGGGGTGGGGTTTGTTTTGTATACACGTATGTGTGTATAATATTCAACCACCTTTCAAGCTGTTTCTCAAGGTTAGAAGAGTGTATAATTTTAAGATGAGCAAAGGATACAAAACAATCAAATATCAAATAATTTACCACTTCCAGCCACAAAAAAGTAGAAAGCATATGCCTATAATCCATTTGCTTCATTCCTTCAATAAATTGCCACCAATTTTGGAGCTTTTACAGGCTGCTGCGCAGCAGTTCAAAATAATTGTCTTGAACTACAACTAAAAAGAAGAATACCAAAAGTACAATCAGCAAAGCATCATGCTAGCGAGATCCACAACCCTCCTTGAATTATATGACTAAGTGCCACCTACTTACGGAAGTAACAACTAACAAATGAAGGGGAGAGAAGTATTAGGACTGTCAAAGATGTTCACCACTAATGCCAACTGAGATAGAGAGAGAGGGTCCCAGGTGAACGATAATACCACCTCAAAGATTAACATCAGCAACTTCAAATTTTTAATGAACTACTTCAGCTCAAGTCTACTGGCTACTCCAATTCTGTTTTGGGCAGCGTTTTACCACTGTCCAAACGGAGTGTGTCAGCCAGGTTATCCGACAGTTGATTTATTGAATCAGCAGCAGGGAGAGGAGCCGCTGTATTTCCAGATGAAGTGGCTTGCTGTTTGACCTTCCTTTCCAGCAAGGATTTCTCTCGCTCATCATAGTAGGTAAAATCGTCAAGGAGAGATGTCCCAGCATTATGGTTCTTGAAAATTTTTAACATTTCAATTCCTTGTTCCAGTTTCACCTGAAAAGGATGATTGATCAACAAAATATAAGTTAAGACGGGTGCAAGCATCACATAAACGTTTTAAACTAGTCAAGATGGGACCAACTAGGAGTTTGGCTAAGCATATTATTTTGTCAAACTGATGGATGTATGCACAAAACCCAATTAGCAAGTACTAAAAGAAGAGAAAAGGCGGGGATCGAAGTGGCGGGGGGGGGGGGGGCGGGGGGCGGGGGGGGGGGGGGGGGGGGGGACGGGTTGATGCAAGAAAGAGAGAATATTGAGGGAGAATTCTTAGATTGTATTCAAAGTCAAAGTGTTAACCCTCTATATATAGGATTAAAACAAACCTAATTTAAGTATGAAACTAAGGAAATAAAACCTAATCTAATTTAAACTAGAAAATTGCAATCTGAATAAAAATGGAAAAAAAGTCACAATCAACCGAAACAAAAGTACCATCTAAAGATTTTTATGCCAAGTCTTCAAAATATATCTGTATTGCCCTCCATCACAGACATTCCATCTTATAAGCGGTTAAAGATCACAATTAAAGGTTGAATTACGTTGCAACAAGGCGCAAGGTTTTTTTTCCCCCTTTTTTTCCAGATAAAGGTCAAGGATATTTTTGATAAGTATTATGGTATATATACGGGGCGATAAAGTGAAGCACTCAGTCCGCCATACAACCAAAGTTCTAACTGGCCCATAAAAGGGCCTGTTCTTGTAACTAATAAACACCATGAGGGCAAAGCAGACCAAGAATGGGTTGACTGAGTGTTTGGGAAGAAAAGTGACATTCGTTATGAGAGTAAAACACAGTAATTCATTAAACAAAAAGTGTTCACCGAATTAGGTAAACGACCGTCTCAAATCATTTCCTACGAGTCCTAGAAAAATGAGCATATTGAGTTGAGTTCAAGTCGCAGAAGAATTTGCATCATCTTCTTTTGGTAATTGAATCCTGTCTTGATCATCAGTTCTGACTACAATGATTGAGTGCTGTTGCACTGAAGATGAACAGGGCTAAACGATCTACCGAAACTATTGGATGTGAAAATACATTGGTAGGGGAGCATCCCACCTGGAGGTAAGCCCCTATGCGAGCAATGATGTGACGAAGTGGTAGCAAGAACGTCGGCTTGAATAACTCAAACCCCGAAAACCCAAAGGTTTCGCCGTCTAAACGAAGAGACAATTTTTACACAGAATCGATGTGATTCAATTTCTCCTTTGAAAATGAACATAGAAGGCAGGACTTGTACCACAATGAAGTTGACAAGTAATGATCACGAAGATGTATTCGTGTAGGCACAGAGATACAATTGACAATCGAAAGATAATGCTAACAATATTCAGGAATTTTTTTTTTTTGATAGGTAATCAGAGAATTTTATTCCTTAAAAGAAAGTACACGGGAGGTATATAATCACTTTAAGCATGAAAGGAACAACAAGAAATTAAGTAACCCTACAACAGGATTTTTAGCCACTGTATTAGACCAAGTATGCAAAGTCAAGTAAAATAATTCTCTTATCTGCTCTATTGTCTTTGTTTGGTCTTCGATACATCGATCGTTCCGTTCTCTCCATATGTACCATACAATGTATCCCGGGATAAAATTTCAGAGAAGTTTGCTATCCTTATCGAGAAGTTTTCTTCTCCATGCCCGCACCACGTCTTCTATACGCCTAGGTAGCACCCAATCCATTGATTGAGAAGCCAGAATACTATTCCAAAGCCAACGTACACCATCACAATGAATGAATAAATGATCAATCGTCTCTCCATACTTCTTGCACATATAGCACCACTCGATTACATTAAATCCTTTTCGTCGAAGATTATCCACCGTTGACACCTGCCCCCTCATAACTATCCACAATAGAAATGCTACCCGTGGAGGCAATTTACTTTGCCACACCATCTTCCAAGGTAATGAACTCTCCACAAATCCCAAAAGGGATTGAAAGTATAAGCGGACTGAAAAAATACCATCTCGAGCCAACCTCCACCTGCTACAATCACCCTCTCCTACCCGAATTTGTATCTCATGCAGAGCGGTCAAAAACAACGAATAATCTTCCAATTCCCAATCCTGGAAATCCCTCCCAAAAGTAATATTCCAACTACAGCCCCCATTATGGATGTCAAGTACATCACCCATCATAGCAGCAGGCTCTAACGCAATGCGGTACAATGAGGGAAATCCCTCCTTTAACGGTTGATCGCCACACCAACTATCATCCCAAAATCTAATATCAGTGTCATTTCCCACCACAAAATTTAGTTTGTCCCTAAAATCACTCCATCCCCGTCGGATATACCTCCACAAACTCACCCCATAGGAGCCACGACCCTCAACCGTACACCAACCCCTCTCCATCACACCATACTTTGCCCCAATGATTTCTCTCCAAAAGCTCTCCCTCTCCACTCCAAATCGCCACAACCACTTGCCCAATAAAGCTTTATTAAACAAAACAAGGCTCCTCACTCCAAGCCCCCCATCCTCATAGGCAAACAAATAGTACCCCAATTAACCAAAAACATTTTCCTCTCCTCCTCTAACCCTGCCCACAAGAATTTTCTTTGAAATCTCTCTAATCTATTTGCCACTGCAACCGGAATAGGAAACAATGACAAAAAGTAAGTGGGGAGATTTGAGAGAGTGGATTTAATAAGAGTAAGTCGGCCTCCCTTAGAAAGATACATACGCTTCCACCCTGCTAACCTCCTCTCCATTCTTTCCATAACATTCCAAATATGTGTACTTTTAAACCGTGCTCCTAGCGGGAGGCCTAAATAAAACATGGGCAATTGTGCAATCATACATCCCAATATGCCAGCCAACTCCTCCACGTTAGTGACCTCCCCAACTGGAATAACCTCAGATTTCCCCAAATTGATTTTTAATCCAGACACCGCTTCAAAACATAGGAGCAAACGACGCAGGTTCCTGAATTGTTCATCATCCGCATCACATAAGATCAACGTGTCATCTGCAAATAGCAAATGAGACACCTGCAATTGGCCAACCCTAAAGCCCCTTACCAAACCCTCTCCCACAGCTCTTTCAAACATCCTATTGAAAGCCTCCATCACAATAACAAAAAACAATGGGGATAGTGGATCTCCTTGCCGCAATCCTCTACTACTCCAAAAATAACCCACCAGCGTTCTGTTGACCATAACTGAAAATGAAACAGTAGAAATACAGAACTGAATCCATTTACACCACTTATCCCCGAAACCGCACCTCCTAAGCATATATAAAAGGAACCCCCAATTCACATGATCACATGCCTTCTGAATATCGAGCTTACATAGCATCCCGGGAATTCCCAAACGCAACCTTGAATCAATGCATTTATTCGCTATAAGCACAGAGTCCAAAATCTGGCGACCTTTAACGAAAGCATTCTGAAACTTGGACACTACTTTCCCGAGCACCTCCTTTAATCTGTTCATCAGGACTTTCGCAATAATCTTATACACCCCACAGATTAGGCTAATAGGGCGAAAGTCCTTAATGTCGATCGCTCCCGATTTCTTAGGGATCAGCACAACAAATGTAGCATTAGAACTTTCTGGAACCTGCCACGTTCAAAAAAATATGTAAACACATCCAAAATTTCCGATCGCACCACCTCCCAACAAGCCTTGTAAAATGAGAACGAGAAACCGTCCGGTCTAGGGGCCTTATCCTCGTTCATGCTAAAAACTACCTCCTTGATTTCATCCTCCTCAAAAGGTCGCTCTAACCACCTGGCATCATCCTCCGTGATAGTAGAAAAATCCAATCCTTCCAACTCTGGCCTCCACTCAAACTGCTCCTGATATAGATTCTGATAAAAATTCACCAATTGGCTTCCAATTTCGAGTGGTTCTTCATAAGTTATCCCATCCACTTCCAACGCTGTGATAGAGTTTTTGCGCCTATTAGAATTAGCGATCCTGTGAAAAAACTTAGTACATTTATCTCATTCTTTCAACCAATTAACCCTAGATTTCTGACGCCAAGCAATCTCCTCCATCTCCACCAACCTCTCCAATTCTTCCCTTAATGCTCTACGTTTCTCCTTCTCCTCCCCAACCAACCTTCGGCTCTCCTCCCACCTATCCAACTCATCAATCTTGGAGAGACACTGAATTTTACGACAGTTCACATTGCCCACAACCTCCTAATTCCATTTCTTTAAATCTCTTTTCAAAGACTTCAACTTCTGATCCAACACAAAACTAGGAGACCCCCTGACATCATAAGATGTCCACCAAATCTGTACTTGCTCCCTAAAACCTTCAACTTTCAACCACATTTTCTCGAACCTAAAAGGCCTTCGTCCTCCACCCGTCCTGTTCCCAGTTAACATAATGGGGAAATGATCAGAGTACACCCTCCCCAATCTTCTCTGAATGACATCTGAATACTTAACCTCCCACTCTCCGCATATCAAGAATCTATCAATACGAGAAAGAACAGGTTGATCCCGATTGGATGACCAGGTAAAATCTCCTCCAATCATAGGCAAATCCACCAACATATTCTTCCTTATAAAGTCTGCAAAATCCTCCATAGCCCCCGTGAGTCTCCTACCGTTCGACCTCTCAATAGGAAATCGAACCACATTAAAGTCACCTCCTATACACGTTGGTAGATTCCACCAAGCCATCATTCCAGCCAGTTCATTCCACAAGCCCCGTCTACTATAATCAGTATTAGGCCCATAAACACCTATGAACATCCACTGAAATCCATCCCCAATGTTTCTGAACGACATCGAAATTGAGAACAATCCAACACTCATCTCCTCCATCTCAAGCACTCTGGTGTCCCACATGACTAATATGCCTCCAGAAACCCCTGATGACCCCATAAACTGATACCCTACATGCTGTCCCCCCCTTAAACTACTAACCACCGCCCTCGAGATGACCTCCATCTTGGTTTCTTGTAAGCATACAAGATCCGCTCCCCAGCCCCTTAGCAAATGTCGAACACCCATCCTTTTCCCAACTTCATTAAGTCCCCTTACATTCCAGCTAATGATTCGTGGTATCATTTCAACAGTCCAGCATCCCTCCCCAGTACTCCATTCTTGGACTCACCACCCTTGCCATCATAATTAACTGACCATTCGAGCCTCTTAAGTTCACGATCGCCCTTTCTTCTTAATTTACCTTCTTGTTTACTCATCTCCTGTCCCCTATTGGCCTCCAAATCCTCAAACAATTGTAGTAATCTGTTTTCGTATCCATCACAAGACACGCCTATTAAGTTACTAAAATCCTGAATTTTCTGTAGAACACAGTTCGAAGGTAGGTGTCCAACTTCGAATCCAAACAATTCCCCTATTTCCTCCACCTGTATAACATCACTTTCTATTTCTCCTTTCTTGGCTCCATCTACCCACAACACTAGTGCTTTTTCCGTCCCCAAGTCACTTACCTTCATTGACTTAGAGTTCCTTCTATTATATGTGTTCGCAACCCTAATTGTCAAAGGTGTCACGTCGTGCTCTATCACCCCTGACAGTACATGCCTCGTCCCTTAGTCACCTAGTAAAAGCCCATCATCGTGTGAGACTGCGTCCATTGCACTCATCGTTACTGTCTCCAAGTTCACCATACTCGGCTCCCCTTCTTTAGACAAAGGTACCACCTCTCGGTACGTCGACCTCAACCACATCCAACCCCTCTAAGACATCACCTTTGTCATACTTAGATTGTCCCTCGTCTGTTTCAATCTGATCAATAGACTCGCAAGTGATTTCAAGTCTTCCCTGCTTTACTTGATTATGTGCCGATTCCTTCTTATTCAATCCCGATGCTTGTTTTCCAACAGCTGGATACTCATCCATACCTACCCCACACTTGTGGCAACATAACAACTTCTTGGGACCCATTTCATACCCACTTCCCACTAGCCTAATCAATTCCTCCAACGCTCCTTTCAATTCCTAGACACGAGCCATAATTTCAGCCCTATTTTAGACTGGGGACATTCTGCCTGACATTTTGGTTCTCCGGCGCCGACGAGCGGCTCCAACGGCGTGTGCTCCTTCCCAACCTACCGCCGGCCTCGGAATCGCCTGCACTGCGCTCCGGTCAGGCGCGTCTGCCAGAATGGTGACTGGATTTGGTGTGATCTGAGTTTGCATCCCAGATTGGTATGGCTTTATTTGTGGCGTGGGGCCGTATGGGTTAGGGTTTCCGTCCGACGCAGTATCGCCAGTCAGAGGAATGGTTGGACGTGGATCGACGGTGGGTCGCTGGTCATGGGTTTGGGTTTGGGTTTGGATATTAGGGAGGTCATGGAGCATACTTCAAGGTAACTAATAAGTAACCGTTCACCTCAGATAGGGATATCTTAAGAATGTCACTAACTATAGGTGTAATTACTATTCAGGAATTTAACAGAGAGCTATTTTTAAATAAATTGAATTGATGTCACTTTCAAAAAGGATTGGTAGATAAAGTATTCTAAAAGACACTCATACCTCTTGGGAATCTCGGCTGTGAGAAACAGGCTTCTTGTCATTATTTTCAAGAACTATGTGGCGGAAGCTACCATGGGGTACATCTTTAATGATATGCCACTTAACAGGAAACTGCCCACTCCATCTATCTTGCTGCCAGTACTTGGCATCATTGTCAAAATCAACAGGTCCAACCATCTCGGCTACCCCACAAAACTGTCCACTAGCATTAACCTGCCGATTGTTAGAACAACCAGATTTAACAAGAGTGAAATGAGCAAAACAACAATACCAAAAGGTATCTGTATGCAAGCTCCATTTAACAAATGCTTTAGTGCATACAAGATCAACGACAAAATTATATGCTTTACTAGTTAAAACAAATAAGTCAAATAACTAGATACAATGTGAGACTTGCACCAAAAATACTACACTTTGGGACATGGAGAGGTCGAGCAAAACAAATTTATAGTATTTCCCAGAAAAAATTAATAGCGGCACGAATAATGGGTCAAAAGTGACAGAACTGGCCTGAAGGCAATCAAAGCCTAGATTTAGTACATGTACAAGTATCAAAATGAAACATAGATATTTTAAAATAAAAATAAAAAATGAAACAGGGAAGGAGGGGAAAGGTCAGCTGAGACCGCAAGCTCAGAAATGTAGTATTTTATTAACGATATAATATGCCCAGTAGAGATAAGAAAGTCACAACTCATGTTCATCAATAAGCAATAAATAATCGCGCGGACCAACTAGAAGTTAGAATCCCTACTGGATTAAATGCTTATTCAGCAGGCACCCACAACTAAAATTATTAGGGCGAAGCAATTTCTAGTTCTTTTGTGCCAACACAAATTTTTGTTCAAGGTAATTTAGTGCCTGTTCAACACACTTTGATTTATTCTATGGTTTGCTACAAGATCATTTTCAACCACATTTTCACACTAAAATATTCTAACATATACCAAAAACTTTTGCCTCCTTTTTAACTACATTCTCCAAACAATCACTATTCGAAACTCTTTTTTCCTACAATAATGGTTGTCAAATAGGCTCCTAACTACAAGCAAGTGGAGATTCACCCACACATTTTGTCATTTAGGAAGTTCAATAAACTTACTGAGAAAAAGAGAAAGACTGGACAAATTCCATTGATTTCCTTTGCTTCACGATAGGCAGCATCAAGTTTTCTGTTTCCAAGTGATGTGCTGGCCCAAACATTGTATTTAATACTTCTGTGAATATTGTCTTCACTGAAGGACTTGATGACAAAAAATCTTGCATTTTCATAGTCTGTAGTGAAATCTGGGGCATTGAACTGACTAATATCAAAGCCCGAAGTAGATTCAACATCTTTATGAACACCTGAAGACGTGCCCTCTCCAGGTAAACTTTTGCTCAGTGCCTTTGAAAACCTTGGCCCTCGATTTCGATCACTTGAGATACCAAATGCATCGGAAGAAGCACTGATAAAGTCTCGATCCTTTTCGTGTCTTGCACCCTTGCCAGTAGAGGACTGATTCCGATTAGGAGGCAAACCGCGCTGGTAAGAGCCAGCATGCGGATAACGTCTAGCTGAGGAGCTTGACGTCAATCCATAATCCTGAAATGAAGTCTGCAATTGAAACATTAGCAATTAAATATCAAGGCCCGCAGGTATCAATAAATCTAATTGGGTAGATAGGTTTCACATTCATTAAACATTCATTATGATATGTATCCAACCAGTGACCACCCATCATGTCACTGTCACTGAATGATGACCAATATTTAATGTCAAAGAAACATATAAGAAGAAATATGAAGAGATAGGTTGTTCTTTTAATGTTACAAAATGTTGTTTTACAAAACATAATATAATAAAAGAATTACATGTTTCCCATGTATATTAATTAGTAAGAAGAAATATTGACTATGATTTCTGTAAACGTAGTGGTAAAATAGCCAAAATACAAACTGGAGAATTATCTTGCCAATTGGAAGGAAACATGTGAAATGGCGAAAAGATAAACTGGAAAGGATGTTAAATTACTTTTATTTAATCACCCCTTGTGCCCTGAGAAAAAAAAATCATCTTCTTTGGGCATCTAATCTACTCAAAGTAAGCCAGAAGTCCTTTATTCTGGTATTCATGATTGCTGTAAGATAGTTATGATTCTACAAAAAAGTAGGTCAATATTCATTTGGAGTAACTCAATGCAAGCAATACAACAGTCATCGTGACAATAAAAACACAACATAATTTCATCCTCCGTGCATGTTGATGTGTCTATTTGTTGAATGTGCTATATATAACCCACCTGTGCAACATTTTGCTCGTATGAACCAAGTATGCCAATTGAATGGGGATATGCAGTCCCAGCCGCCAATGGAGACATGAACTTGCCTGTGTCTAAAGGGCTTGAATGACTTGGCAGCGATTCACTAGATCCAAAGTCGCCCGAAAATTTGTAGAGACCAACTCCACTACTTCCAGAAATATCCCCTCCACCAAAAGCTCCAAAAGGCACATAGAAACCAGATCCTGGCCCAAAAAGTGCATAGTCCATAGGATTTTGTTGGCCACTAATTTCTGGTGGCATCAGTTCTGACTGTGAAACAGGAAATGCTGAAGTAACATGGGGCAGACCAGGAGAAACTGAGGGTGGATAATAAGGTGACGACACAGGTATTTGGTGTGGAGAGTACAACTGTCCATCGAACATTATTGGAGACAGAGGGCTAGGAAGAGGAGAAAACTGTCCATATGCCATCTGGGAATCAAAGCCATAGCCAGTAGGATAGAAGAGTGGTGGATTATCATTGTACATTGCCTAAATAAGGTTCAATACAACAGTCAGCGTATGATGAGCTCTATCTAGCAAATTGAAAATACAGACAAGAAAAACTATTTATACCCACCGGAGGTATGACATGTAAGTTATTGACGTTAACATAGTTAGAATGCTCATCCCAGTTACCAGTGCCATCGTCATAACCTGGACCAATGCAAAGGTAATCTAAAATTACATAACACGGGAAGCAGAAACAGAAATCATTAGAGCAAAGCAACATGATTGTATTTGAACCAAAAAAGAAAAAAGAAAAAAAGAACAACAACAACAAAACCCACATGACCCAATGTCTGGTTTCATTCAAATTCCTTCTTGCTATGAGTTGATATAAAATTAGAACTAAAGTGTTGGAGTTCATTTGCCTTCACAATCTCACATTACCTACACCTCTCCCAGAATTGTCTTCTAAAAAATCATAGAGGATATTAATTAGAGAGTGGAAACTGATCACAATTCAATAGATGAAGGATATGAACTTCTAACCTAAAAGGTCATCATTTAGAACTACAAGTTTAACAGTGATAACACACCGCAATATTCAGGCCCAAAATCATCTTCTATAATAATTCACAAATTAATAACGAAACTTTAAACTACCACTACCAATGATAAGACAATATAATTCACAGTGAGAAAATAGAATGTAATCGCATAAGCGAGAATGATTATCTATGGTCACCATACAATGATGGGTGTGTTTTTGCATAAAGAAAACATATTGTCATTACGAAGCAATGAGATTAGCAGCAATTTGGAACAAACCTCCGTAATAGATGCCCTGGTCCTGCTGAGTATAAGCATTGTAAGGATACATAGTGCTGAAAGCCCCACTTGTTACTGAGGTTGCAGGCTGATCTTTAGTGTTTTCTGGTGCCCTAGATATGGCTGTGTCAGGAGAAGGGTTTGCAGACACAATCCGTTCATCTTTCGGCGAAAGTGGCTGAAAATAGATCAAAAGAATGTACAAACGAAATACATTACCTAATCTAACCAATACATATTGATAAAGGAAGAAAAACTCGATAATTTAAGGATGGGTTTATTGCATACCTGTTCTGCCAAGTTATGAAGATCAACAGCCCTGTCACCTGCATCCACCAAGGCAATCCGCAGCTTATCAAAATGCAGATCAAGAAAAATCAAAAGAACGCTGTGTAATAGATTAATAAAATTGAGCAACCCATGGCCATGGTGTAGAAATTGGGCATACCATAATTTTATGATTTGTTTGGCTGAAAGGGGTAGAGGCAATAGAAAGAGAAACAGAACCCAATTGAAGATCCAATTTATTGATAATACAAGTTCCCCAATTAAATTAACACAATGCATAAACAAATGCATGTAAATTATGGCTTGGCAACAGGCTTTCTCGCCAAGTCTGATGGTCGAAACCAAACTGAAGGAAAAACACCATCAACGGAATAATAAAAAGGGGTAAAAAGAACAAAGGGTTTTAACCTTGACAGTAGCTAATCAAGCATTTAATAAGAGAAAATTATAATTTGAAAAGAAAAATTTAAAGATTTCTCTAATTTTGAATATTGCATGAAATTGATTTACAAAGAACTCTAATTATCAGAATTTGTGTGTATTTTGACCAATAAATAGCACAATAATTTCCAGCTGTTATCATAATCATGTCAACGAGAGAACCCTCACTCAAAAAAAATTGAACTCTGAGCAAAGCCAATTTAACAAAATTACCCAAATTCAATTCAAAAACACTGTCACGTAAAATCCCAGAGAATGCTCCTTTTGCATTTAATCTCGAAACCAGATTGGAAGCATGTAACTATAACATCCCAAATCCTAACATGAATACATAACCTTTCCAATCCGAATGCAACATTCCCGGTAAAAAAAAAAAGAAGAAAAAAAGGAAGTCCAATCAATATAATTACAACTATAAATACACACACACACACACACACACACACACATATATATATATATATATATATATATATCAAGATGTGAACGAACCAGAAGATGGGATGGAGGCGAATCCATCGAGGCTCTGTTGACTAGCGTCTTCCATTAACACCAATTGAACTGAGTTCAAATCCAATCACAAATCGAAAAGTAAAGGGAATGAAGATTCAGATCTATTCTGTTTCAAATTGAATACAAAAAAAAGTATTCTAAATAAATCAAACGAATGCGAATGCAACTTTTTGCAAAAAAGACAAATATGAAAAGAACCCTAATTTCTTCTTTTATCTGAAGTGAAATTGCAGATAATCAAAAAAGGCAAAAGATTTACTTCGCGGGAGGGTTTGAAAATAAACAGACAAAAGAAGGTTTTAGACAATGCTACATGTGGATATATGCTACCCCATACCCCAAACCCACCAACCCCTACCCCGTCTTTATGAGATTCACAGGTCAGAATCCCAGTTGCAGAAAATTTTATAAATAGATTAAAAGTATATTAAGAAAAAATTAGAGAACTTTTCTTTTTTCCGTTGACAATCATGTACACGTATGTAAGTAATAAGATACATATAGCACAACAAATAATAGAACTGTGATAATGTTATATGTATATAATTTTTTTTACTTAATTTTTTTATTTATTATTCACAGTAGGGAGTGGAGGATCACATTTGAAAATTTCTATGCTCTGTGGAGCTTGCATGCGTTGTGAAAGGGACGACAATTTTCGGTACCCCCAATTCATTACAAATAGAATTATTCATAAAACTAAAGAATAAATTCACACATGAATGGATGATTAAAAAAAAAAAAAGTGAAGAGTATTGTATTTTGGACCTTAACATTCAAATAGGAGGAATTTAGTCCCCAACCTTTAACTTTCGTTGCACTTTTAACCCCAGTAAACCACCGTGAGCACGTGACTTAGTTTTTGAGGGGCAATGAGAGAAAAAATAGTTTTCATTAAAAATGACTGAAAAAAGAATGAATTAAAAAAATTAGAACTCCCAATTTTTTCTGCAACCATCCTTCATGTACAAAAGGAGGGATTGTGAAACCCCTCACAAGACACGAGAGGGTGGTTTTTTGGCATTATTTTATTCACATGGAGCATGCGACCCACCCATGTGAAATTTCTGTATTAATTTTGTAAATTTCATTTCTGTACAAATGGAATGATACTTTTTTTGTGATTGTAATATGGGTTGACAACCCAAATTTTACCCTATTGCACTGTTTGCTAGTTAGTGGCGAAGCCACATGAGCGTGGGAGATGGCAATCGCCCATCAATATTTTGAAATCTCTCTAAATGTATATATAAAATTTTTGAAACTTTTTAACATATACATAATGCATGTATATTTCTCATTCAAATTACCCCATCATGAATTTTCTAGCTCCACTATGGGTGCTTGTTGACGGGATTTGTGTATCATTTGTACGGTGATAGGCTAACTGGGATACGAAGTGATTACGGTTGGTAGGAGCGAGGGACAAAAAGTAGAAAATAAATCAATGTCTTTTCTTTCCTCTTTCTTTCATTTTAAATTTGTCAGATCATTATGCTCCTCGATGCAATTTTAAGGTTATTTTGGATGACCTCCATCCAATGAGAACATGACTACAAAGGAAGTAAAAGGTCGAAGACGTATATTCTCCTTTTAAAAAGTGTAGCTTCTTTCTAAAAGTTGATATGAGACTAAAGTGCAACAAGAACATGAGGTTAGAGCCTTCGTTGGCGTTTAACATTAAATCAGCGAGTTTGAAAAATTTTGCTCAGCATGATAAGTTCAATTTCGACATCGATCTAATTACAATAGAATTATTATTCAAAGTATTCCAAAAATAGGAATGGTAAAATTCTTTTCCCAATCCAGATTAATTTCTCAAACTTGTCTTGAATATATATTTTTCTATTTTTCATTTAAAAATAATAATATATAAATAATTAAGCGAGATATCTCCTATTTACTTCCCTCAAAAATACTTGACAAGGCTGGAACGGGATGATCACACTGTCCTACCCTGCCCCGTCCCTATAAACAAAGAAGTTATGTTGCATCATACAAGGAACAGTATTCCCACTTGTAGACCATGCAAGTTAGATGGTACCGAAAGATGCCCTCGAGGCATAATCCAGTGGTGCAAAGGACAGGAATGAGGTAATATCAACTTTGCTAGTAGCAGTAATGTGAGGATTTGATTCCTGAGATATGAAATTGGATTTTTTATGGGTATCAATGTACAGGTAAACTCTTGTTCCTTAACCTATTAGAGCACATCCCGCGATTCACTTCTCTCACAATGCTCCGGGGGGCGATGGGGGCCCTCAAGATTGGGGTTCAACCTTTTTTTTTAGATGGTACCAAAAGATGTCTAATCAGGCATTATATTGCCTCAAAAAAAAAAAAAAAAAGGCAGTTGGGGTGATGTAAGAAAATTAGACATCGATCAGCAGTTGAGAAACATCATGTGATGAGATGTTCTGAAAGGCACTAGTACTATTAATGAAGAAAGATAGCGAAAGAATTAAGTTACACAAATTGTTATTTTTGGAATGATATCAACTTTAGCATGAATCATTACATCGTCAAGTTGTTGAACATATCAAAGGCGTAGAGTTTGTTGATTTTCGAGGATGTACAATTTTTTCAATAGTGTTTTATTATTATTATTATTATTAAGCTTTGAAATTTGTTAAACTGAATGTTTAAAATGGAATTTATGATTATGCATTATGATAGTTGTTTTGATAGAAACAGCCATTTGAATAAATTCTTCCTTTTGATTCCATTTTGATATTTCTATTCTCAACTAAAGAGAAATGGAATTTGAGATTCTACTCAAGTCATTGACCAATGTAACATAAATGGTAACAATATATTGTCATTCTTTTAAACATTTTGCTGTTGATCAACATATAAATGTCATGTGTTTTTTTTTTTTTTTTTTTTGAGCTCGATATAAACATGGATACCAGCCTTCATAATAAAATTTGTGTGATAAAACCATATATTTTAAAAATAACTTATAGTGTGGCGAATTACTACCCGTTTTAAAGTATGGCGCAAACCATTTACAAGGTCAAATGACAAGACATGATTATATGCATTGAGGGAAAAAAGCTATATAACTAACTTATAATTTTCATGTAAATGACTAGTTATCCATCAACAAGAAAGAGTTCATATTACACAATACCAATTCAAAAAAGAAACAAAAAATATTGACTTCAAATCTACATTACTCCAAAATTTGACTATCGATAACTTTGATTTTCACACCCTTTTCGACTGATTTCCCCGATGTACTTGGGTATCACCTTCTTTATTCAAATTGGCATATTAAACGTATGAACTCCCAGAAAGTGACGTGCCTTGTCTATACCAAAGTTATGTTTCATCTCATGCATCTTCAAATGTATTCGGTGTATTTACAACAAACATGCTGCAACTAAGCCTGCATGAAATTTTCAAAACTAACAAAATTAGATATTACAACTCAAGAGTGAAGCACCTTAAAGATAAACTCATGGTATAGGGATCGAACTTAATGGATCTAAGAAGTCGAAAGAGTTAATGGTTTTCTTGTTGAGGTATTTCGTCCACAATGTTCAATTTTAATGTGTCTTCTTGTGGTTTGCATGAACAATCATTGATTGCGTCAAAATTTACTGACATGACATACGAATTGAAAAACACAATAAACATCGTGTTTGAAAACTGTACAAATAATTGCAACGAAACATTGCCTATATAACATAATTTTTTAGTCCTTGTTTAGCCCCCATTTTCTAAAATTTATTTTCAACCGTACATTTCATGAAATCCACACAACTTTTATCAATTGTTTAATTAGATTTCATATTAAAATTTTGAATTTTTTAGCTAAATCAAAAAGGAGCTAAATAAATTTCACTGCATTGCAATTTACAAAATTTCTATTCAATAAAATAATAAATAAATAAATACAAATTCTATAAATTATAAATTACCAAATGTATATAACAATACGTAAACACTTGAGACATTCATTACTAAAAATTAGCTTTTCACATACGGATAATTACAAACGAATTGTATTCATCGATAATTAGAAACGGATTATCCGTTATTAAAAGTATTAGACTTTTAACTACGAAAATCGTAAACAAAATTTTCATTGGTAAAAGTGGATGCTCTTTACCTAATGTTATTGTTTAATATATGTATCATTTACCAACATCATTTTCGTATGTGATGTAATTCAACTTTTTTCTAAAAACTGTATCAACATTTCACCTACGAATTTTCCATGAGTAAATAGTAGTTCATTTTACCAATGGAATTGCCGTTGCTAGTATTAATCAATTTTGAAGGAATTCTTATCCCGCATTAGAAGTTCACAATAAAGTTTTTGGAGTTGCTATCTATAAATTTGCGGTCCAATAAGTAGTTAAACAATTTTTTTGGACCTTTCAACCGAGTTAGCGAAAAGTTAAAAAATTACAATAACAATAACAAAAATAAATAAATAATTTATTTTTTTTACCATGCTTCACACCTATGCGGCTATTTACAACGCTAATTTTTACCAATTGCAATGGTAGACATTTACCAATGGAAATTCGATTGGTAATGGTTAGATTTTTACCAACGAAAATTTCGTTAGTAAAAAGTTTACTCTTTACCTACGGCGTAATCAGTTGGTAACTATCAGCGATCCCTCAATTAACGACGAATTTGTGGTTGGTAATATTTCGTTGGTAAAGAATAATAGAAATGGATATCATGGTTTCAGGAATAAAAAATCCGTGCCTGAAGCTATTTTTTTTTAGTGATTGTATGGTACGTTAAACTATAGTTAACAACAAAATATTGTAATAACTTCATGGATACCCAATTTGTAATCATATTAATAAAACACCTTGTAACAATTCTTGAAAAATAAGATGACTTGTCAGTTGTAACAATAAGCATTAGCATAGTTTCGATTCAATAAAACAATAATATTGACACTGCACAAATAATGTGAAGTCACAAATCTATTTTTTAGCAAATCAAACATGAAAAAATATTAGAGACAATTCTACTAGAGTTTAGGATGCGACAAGGCTAAGTCTGCTAAGGTGAGCGCTTCACCTGGACAAAATAAAGGGCTTGACCACACACGCTCACACTATATGGTTGTGTATCTTCTTCTTCAATAATAATAATAATAATAATAATAATAAGTAACAACTTCCCTTGAACAATTTTGAATTCTATAGCTAGAGTAGGTAATGAATCATGAAACCCTTTCGACCTATCTTTCAACATAGATATCATCTAAGCTTGGAAATACTACTGCTCGTATTAAAGTAATACGAAGCTATTTATAACTATAGTTATCCAAGCATATTTACAGGCAAAAGTACATCTTATAATTAAAATAAATAAACTTAGTGATA